TGTTTCCTGATTGCTTCTTTGTAGCATGTACCTATGACTATCATTACGTGTTGTACCTTACGATTCGTGACGAATGAATACTGTCTTTTTTTGTACACTGAGAGCATATGCACCAAAGACAAATGGCTTGTGTGTCCAATCACAGTTGGCCAATAAAGAATTCTGTTCTGTGTCATGCCTGCAGCTGGTTCCTTTTGGATGCCACACTAATATTCTATTCTACTATGCTGTTTCATTAGTGGGGAATTGGGAGGGGGAATAGTAAGGAGTAGAATGTGATGTTGTCAAAATAAAATTCCTTTATAGAATCCAAGGTCACCCTTTGTCTCTACACTTCTGCACCTGACCGGAACTGGATGGATGGAACTGCTAGCATAGCAGTGGAAGATTGGACCATGTGATGGACTTGTGGGTGTGAGAGCGGGATCTTGAACTTTCAACTGGGTGGGGAAAACAGGGAAGCTTTCAGATTCAGGTTTTCCCAGATGTGCCAACCTGACTCTCTTAATAAATTGGAACTTTGAGCAATACTTTGCCTTGGACACTGATTTAATTTTGGATGTTATTTGGAACCCTGACATTTAGTAGGTTTGTAGTTTCCTTGGCACTTATGAGTTGCCATTACCATTTTGTGGATTCCACTCCCCCCCCCCCAAAAAAACCAATTCCAAGTCTTAATCAAGAACTCCAAGGTTCTCCATCAAATTACTGACCTGGTCTGAATTTGCCTAGCATTTTGAGATCAGCCAGAGATGGCTAAGTAATTGGGTGTATCTATTTAATCCAATGTAAATATACATTATTCGTTGTTGGGATATGATCGGGTTTTCCCACAAAGTTGCTTCATTGAATATAAATAAGGGTAAATTTTAAAAACTTAATGAAAGTGTTTGACCATTGCTGGGAATGCTAACAGTAAAAAAAAAGGTTTATTCTTATTGATTAGTTTCCTGCAGGATGTCCTATTCTTTTCATGGGATCAAATTGGTGATTTGCAAATTCTCTGTGTTTCCCCAGGAGAAGTGGGGGGTTTACAGAAAGCAGTACTAGCTATATATAAACACAAAAAATTGGTTGTTTAGGTATTGCATTCAAGGGTGATTTGCCATTTTCAGACTTACATGGAATTGTAATGTTTTTCAAACAATTCATTGCTAGGCAATGTTTCTCTGCATTTTTTTACTTTTACAATTCAGAAGATGAATTTTTGCATGGACAGAAAGGCACCATGAAAACATGTTTTGGCAGATGTTTCAACTCGTCAAGAACAAAAAGAGATACAATTTTATTAATCGTCTAGGATTATTATAGGGATAACTGACTAAATCAATATCAAAGCTGATAGAAAAATTAGGGTTCGTATCATTATTTCTAATAGGTATACAGAAAAACTGCACTGGCTAATCCTATTTTTTCCAAATATTGAACTTTGCCATACCTAATTTTTACAATATTTATCTAACTTTATTACTTTAACTGCATTTTTGCTGGGAACTGAACAAGCTACATGCTCAGTGTCTGAGAATAGCTTAGACCCGACCCTTTAAATTCAGAATGTGATATTTTACTGAAAAGAATGTGTTGTCATATCAACTTTTGCAGCAGAGGATCAAATTAATAAGGCAGTTCCGTACAATCATGAAACAAATTCTGCCCCTTTTGTATTTTGGCTCATGCCAAGAGGTAAGAGACAGAATTACCTACAGTCCACAACCAATAGTAAAGGAGTAGTTATGTATGTTATAGACATTTTTTGCATTAGTATAGGAATAGTATAGGCTGCCCCCTCCCCCAAACTCTATATAATCCAGAGGAAATTGTGTTAAAATATTGGATGGATTTTAATCGAATTATGTCTGATTCTCTATAAAATGTTTTTTTTTCATTATAGTGGCCATTTTTGCATTAAGATTCATTATATAAAGCATTCCATATATTCCATAAAGCATTTTAAACTGTACTTGCAACAGATTTTGTCTCAGCAAATAAAATATTTCATATGCCCTCGAGTAAAAAATAAAACATAATGGAAATGTATTGCTATCAAAAGAGAAATTGAATTCTTCCTCCTAAAAAAATGCTTTTTTAAAAAAAAAACTATTCTGGTTTGGCCTTAATCAGATTAAGGTGATTTATTGCTCAACACACAAGGACGTACTGTGTTTTAAGATGTTCTTCAGGGATGAATAGCCTCTAGCAAAACAGTTTGTGCACTCCTCAGAGTGACAGCAGTTCTTCTCACAGTGGTATGCCTGCAAAGAAAAGACAAATCTAATTCTGGAGGAGAAATTGAACAGATTTGGGTATAAAACTATTTGGACTAAAGCATTTTTTTTTTAAATATTGCATTTCATTTTCTGTCATTGTCTCCTTGATCTCCTCTGCTCCTTCCTGATTGAAACCAGTCATTATGCAGGAGTTTTTATACTAATTGAGTCTCTTATTAATTCCTTGGAGAAAAAAATGTTTCCTCATAATTAAGACTAATATGAGACCAAGCATATCACATAATCTTAATTGGATTTATCCTTAGAGTACTTCCTAATGATACTTTAGAGACTCTATCAGACCTTGACGTCTTCATAAAAATGTAGAGTTCGTGATTTAACTGATAATATATCTGAGCTGTGAACGAGGACGTTCCATTTTCAAATCTCTCCATAGTTATACAACTTTGGCAATATGTGTACTAAAATTGGAATAATGCACAAAAATTTGCAGGATCGCATATGCACTATGGCTGTTTTGAGTGTTCCAACATTGCTTAGAATTCCAGAGGATTTAGCTGCATACAAGTTGAACAAAAAACTGAGTTTTAGATCCCTCTTAGTTTGAGATTAATTACGGAGAAAAGATGGCCAAATGTCTGTAAAATGGATACATTTTGGTCAGTTCACCTTTACTATTTATCTTACTATCGTGCTTTGACTGCAGCTCTTTTTTTCAGATGGGACCCGGGATTGTTTATAGTTAGTTCAATGTCAGTTTATTTATTTGAATTTTGATTCTAAAGGATAGCTGGATAGGGAGAAGTGGAAAGGATATGAATATGAATTGTTGTGTGGTTGTAAAGAAATGTAGAATTAACTTTGGAAACAGAGAAGGATTCAGTTGAGTCATTAAAGGAAGACTTGCAGAAAAGATTACACTGTCCTGAAAGAAACCCACACTTGTGGTTTTGAAAACAAAACAAGTTTTGTTTTTACTGTAAGATGGGATCCGCAGCAGCTTAGTAAAGTCTTTAAGATTTGGTTATTTTATCTTACTAAAATAAAGGGCATTCTTGTCTTTAGGCCATCTTGGGTTTATGAGAGGATAGGAGAAAAAAAGAGAGAAAGGAAAAGAGATACTTGGTTGACCTTGTTTAGTATAGCCAGCCCTCCAGTCCTCAGGTGTACAGTTGGTAGGCACCATGTGAAACACAAATCACAACACAGATTGTTTTTGCACAGTATCTTACCATTTCCACTTGGAAATCAGAGCCCATCATTATATAACAGAATAGGAAAAGTCCATTCCTCCATTTTGAGAGCAAGCCAGTTGTGTGTGAAATACAGCTAAGATAGCTTTTGCATTAAATGCACATTTAATTTCTCTGAATCAGAGGTTATATTCAACAGGTTCTTACCAGTTCCGGAGTTGACTTGTGCTAATAAAGAGCTGTTTGTTACCCTGAAGCCTGAGTGTGCCTTCATTCCCCCATCTAACAAAAACAAAGTCAGGTCTCAGAGTTCCAAAGTCTTGTCTCAAATATCAGGTTTTGTAATTTCTGTAATTCTAGCCTCTGTCTAATATTGTTATATGCTTGTTTCTTTATTTCTAAATAAACCTAAACTCTTGTACCCTCACAAGATTCTAATCTCAAGTGTCCATCAATTACTGATAAATTTCTTCCTAGCACTATCTGTTTTCAATTGGCATTTAAAACACATTTTGGGCGTACATATGTATATATATATTTCCTGCTTCCAGGGCAATTGGTGAAAATCATATAATGTATAATAGGCAACACCACAAGTTTGCATTATGAATTTAGTTTCCTTTGAGAGTTTTTAAGCTTGACCAAATAGATAAGGGAGGGCTAGAATAATATGAAGTTACACAATAAAATACGAGAATACTATAAGATACTTCAAGGCCAAACAGGAAGAAGGAATCCAATATTCAAACATCAAAATTCAGAGTCAGGCACCAATACAGTTTATTTACACGGCATTGTATAATACTGTAATTTAATATAACAATTTTCTCATGGTATGTTGACCGGAAATGAATTCAGTGTCAGTTGGTATGTATATGAGTATTGATTGTGTCATTTATTAAACGCTGCAGTATTTTTCACCTACCAAAACATTTCAAGACCTGAACCAAAATCCCTGCTACATTTTTCTGTTCTCTGTAGATCTTAAGAGGTCTAATAGCCTCTGCAGATGAGACACTACCAGCTCTACTGAACAAGGGAATGGAAAACAAGTGTGACTTGAATGTGTTCATTCCTGACAGGGTTAACTATGGGAGAAAAAGAAAGGGCATTACATTGCCTGGTCCTTGAAAATGCAAATTATTAGGTAAATGAAATGTGTACTGGCTGTCCCCAAGAAATCTGAATGATTTTGTTTCAACCATTTGAAGGAAGCTACTGTGGCATTTCTAAGAAGCCAATTACTAAAAAGAGAACATATTTTTAAAAGGTTTGATGACTGAAATCAATCTCCTTAAAATAATAATAATAAACCCTCCATCATACTACTACTTGTATAGCACAATGACTGTAAAATATGTTTTGAGATAGACCTTCCTATCATGAAATCTAGCTTCACAAATGGAAAGGTTTTTTTAATTTTATTTTCTCATGGTCACATCCTACACCAATCCCTGACAGTAAAGTATTTTTTCTAGAATCTTAGCCTCTCCCTTCTCTTTCCCTATATTATGTTCATTTAATTTCTTTAAAATAAACCTCCCATTATGAATGTAGTGTTCAACTGCAGTAGATACCAAATATGATTTCCACAAGTCACTTATCTGCTGACTTCTCATTTCTCCCTTTTAATCCTCTTTAACAGGTGCTGCTGGAAACAGAGGGTACTGGGAGAAAAGATGGACCGCAAATTTATTAGCCAAGACTTCTAGCTCTTCATCTCATCTGATTTGTGTGGAATGAAGATTGTCTAGATCAGATAAAGTAAATTGTTTATGCAAAGCAGCCACAATTTAAATTTTACTAAAGGTGTCCTCTACAGCACTGTGATTCTGCCATCTCCTTGTTCCCTGGAATAGTTTGCTTGGTAAACACGAAGGCTCATTTTGAATGAAGTACACAGACCAGAAATCAAAACTGGAAGGATCTGGAATTCTGTAGCAGTTTAGCCCATTCCACAAGTGGGGATAAAGTCCAGGATGTAATGTTCTGTGGACATAAGCCAAATAGATAACCAGGCACTCAAAAGATACTTTTTGTGAGCTGTAGCCTTCTTATCACATGCTGAGAGCAGATGTGTTGCTACCATATCTTTGCTGACAATTTACTAATGCCTGTTCAGGGCTCAACCTAATCTTGAAAACTGCCAGATAATTCGGCTGCTTTTCCTATTGCATTTAGCCTGTGTTCCTCAAAAGCAGAGTTCAAACAGCGACAAAGGGGGCCATCACTCGGCACCATTATGATGCATAGGGTGTGTCCAAACCCTATAAATAATCACCGTTGTTGCTGGGCACAATACTAGTAAAGTCATGATGACAATGGTACCCAGGATGATTAAGACAATGGCCCAAATGTCCAGAATGTGCTTCGGAAGGACGAGTTGGGTAGATTCCATGCTCTCCGAGTTACCCATCATCTTCCTGAGTTCTTCCCTAAAGGAAGAAAAAGGGAAGAAAAGTTATCAACTAGACAAGAAACAAAGCAAAACAAGTTATGGTCCTCCAGAGGCTGCTGAGTTGTAACATCCAGCAATCCTCATCATTGACTGTGATGGTTCAGTTAATCCATGGAAGTTCAAATAAGCATATATATATTTATTTAGCAATAGCAATAACACTGACACATATTCCATTTCACAGTGCTTTACAGAGTCAGCATATTCTCCCCAACGATCTGTGTCCTCCTTTTACCAATCTCGGAAAGATGGAAGGCTGAGTCAACCTTGAGCTGGTGAGACTCAAACTACCGAACTGCTGGCAGTAGGCAGTCAGTGGAATTAGCCTGCAATACTGCATTCTAACCACTACGTCTTCATGGCTCTTATAATATAAATTTATATTTATATATCAAACTTCTTAATTGCCCATCTCCCTCATTGAGTCTTTTCTTTCTCCTACAGTAGACACAGCAGTACTGGGGCTTCTTTTAAAGCAGAGTAGAACATTTCTCAGAAATCTTACATACATTTTCACCTCTATTTATATATTCATATAAGTGTTTGTAGAATTAAATCATTAAAAATAAAAATATCCAGTTTGTGCCAGCAAGGTTATACGAACCGGTTCCACCACAAAACCGCGTTCGACTAAAGCGCGCTCGACGAAACCGCGTAGCTGACGTCATCACAGGGCGACAACAGCGCAGAGACAGAAGCACGCTGTAAACGTTAAACCTAAAATTAACCCCTAAACCTAAACCTAACCCCCCTAAACCTAATCCTAAACCTAATCCTAAACCTAACCCTAAACCTAACCCTAAACCTAACCCTTAACCTAACCCTAAACCTAACCCTAAACCTAACCTTTAACCTAACCCTAAACCTAATCCTAACCCTTAACCTAACCCTAAACCTAACCCTAACCCTTAACCAACCCTAAACCTAGCCCTAACCCTTAATCTAACCCTAAAGCTAACCCTAAAGCTAACCCTTACCTTAAATTGAATTGGCTTGCTTTCAAAGCGCTATTTAAAGCGCCCTTCTTTCTCCGCGCTCGCTGTTGTTGCCCTGTTGATGACGTCACCGATGCGGTTTAATCGGGCGCGGTTTAGTCGCGCGCGCTTTAGTCGTGCCACGATATGAACCTAATGGAATAGATCACTTTGAGGATCTTAACTGCCCTTATACCATATGGAATTTGATGTAATTTGTTATTTGACTTCCTAAAACATTTTTGTAAACCAGATGTCCTCAATATGCTGCTCTCCAAAAATGTTGGAATTCTAGAATTTGGCCAGTATGTTTGTTTGTTCATACCATTTGGAGATACAATATTCAAGTCCAATGTATCCGGAAGTCAGAAGGTGAGCCTACATAAATATTAAAAGCTATACACAAATCCATGATCATCATTATCTTTCTGAACTACCTAACAATGTTGTGTTCCTTGTATGGAGGATGGGATGCACATAGGCTAAATAAACAAAGAAATCCATTTGCATATTGTAAGATAAAACGGATGCTGTTCCTATCAGAATGTCCACATTTCTCTCTTTTTATGGAGGCTGGCATTCATGTGTTGGATATCATCAGGCAAGCTGAATGTGTAGAAGGATAGGATATATGACATAATGACAGAAAAGCAGCTTTTAAAGTTGGGTTGCTGTTTATATTCTTATTTTATTTTTCTTCCATTCAATTATGTCCAATTCTCAGAGACTGTCCAGACAAAATCAAGAAGTTTTCCTGGCAAAGTGTTCTTTCTTAGGGCTGAGACAAAATGACTGGTCCAAGCTTGCCTTGTTCCTAAGGCAAGCCTAGAATTCCCGGTCCCCTAGTTTCTAGCATGATGCCTTAATCAGGCTCTCTACTCTATATACTAAACAAGTACAAACTATTCTTTTCAACAGCAGAACCTTTGGGGGAGTGGAAAATCATGTACTCTGATACTATACAATAAACTATGTTGTAAAAGTATTTACTATGTGTAAGTATGACCTTAATTAGCCTTTGGTTTTATAATCTGATGGGAAGCAACATTGCCCTCAGGGGCAACAGAGTTGTTGTTTGGAGAAAAATGGTATATTATGCAGGTTGACTGTTTTATTTATAATTAGCTGATAATCCGGAATTGCTCAGGTATTTATTTATCCCAACCCTCCTTCCATGAATGTTACCACAATTTCTAATGTTGGCTTTCCCCCCTTACCGGAGGGAGCCCCCTTGTGGAGTACTGTGAAGCTGTTAGCATGGCAACTCCACAGCGCTGTTCAGTAGAAGCCATTTTAAGGCAGTATGGTAGAAGCCATTTTAAGGTACAACAGGCTGTATCTGAATAGAACATCCTCCCTAACCGAGGGGTGTTAGGGGTATCTTATCCCATAGTATTTGTTTCCAAAGAGTAAGTAATCTGTGTACCAAGTTTGGTTGAAATTGCTTGAGGCGTTCGAGAGTTATGCTGGAACACACCCACCCACCCACCGACATTTTATATATATAGAAAAAAATAATAAAGGCTGGATAAAAATAAATAAAAATAAATTTAAAGAACATGGGAATAGTGGAAACAGATAACTATTTATCCCTTCTTGCATAGTTTCTCTTCCAACTTTTTTGCAAACCGAGGAATGTTTACAAATACATGCACAGAAATACATATACATCTTTCTTTGCATCATTTTTTTTCTTGTGATAGGGAGGAGGGATATTTTTAGCCATGATCCATTGAAACAAAGGCCAATGCACTCAGCTATTAGTCAACTTGAAAGGATGACAAGTGAGCACTGATTGGCTGGCAACTCCCTGTGCTCATTAGTGCTACAAAGGGCAAACTAGTGATCAGCAGTTTTATGTGACTCCTTGACTCAGATACATATAATCATGACTGCATCCACACCATCTCAATATCTGAATAGATCTGCAAATTTTGTCTTAAAGAGAGGCACAGAAATGGTGGTCATCTTGAAATCCATGAATAAAACGTATTTCAGAACATTCAATCATTGCCTTCTCAAGAGCACAAACAATACTAGCCCTTCCTACTATCAGTCACCCTATAGAAAATTGTCTGATACTCTAGATTTATAAACTGTGACACTACTCCTAGCTAGATGCAATAGTATGCGAGAATCACCTTGAGGGAGAAGAATAAGTATTCCTGCTACTTTAACTGCAACTTCTCTTTAAAAATTTTCTTTAAAGTCTTTCTCTGTACAAAAATTAGCAGGTGTGAATATGAATTCTCAACTAATAGAAAGAATATTTTTTTAATTAAGTGAACTACATTATTTAAAGATATTGCAGAAGAAAGCAGTTTTAAAATGTAGGGTGAAACTAAATCCATATACAGGAAATGTAAGCACTGAATTAAATAAATGTCATTTCTGGAAAATTATGTGAACAGTATAGGCATATATATTTATTCAAAGTAAATCCTTTTGACTTCAATGAACTTTATTCTTATGTAGAGATTGCAATTTTCAAACATGCATGGACTGAAATATAAACATCTACTTATTCACTGTCCAGGTTTTTTTAAAATGGTTTATTGTATTTTATGTACTCCCATCTCTAAAACATATTTCTTCAAATTAATTTACTTCAGATTAATTAAATGAGGCAACTGAGCTTTTAATATGCTCAGCACAATATTTTACCCCTTCCAACTCATCACTCATTTAAAACTGAATTCTGCAGTGTCCCCATCACATATACCTTGTCTCTTGACGGCTGAAAAAATGTCAAAAAATGAGGGCATAGATATAAAAATTGATATCAGACTATGTTTTATGGCTCAGTGTTTTGTATTTGCTTTTTAAAAACAAACAAACAATATTTTAGCAAACATGTTTTAGTAGGTAGCTTTCCCCAACCTATTCAATAAGTAATTGATTATTTAATACCATATTTATATATATATCCTGATTTTAACCCCAAACATTTCTGAGAGAGATCTCATTTTTTAAGCTGAGCTTAAAATTTACTAAGTTGATGAAAAAAGATAGAAAGAAAATGTTAACAAGAACTTACAACTGTTTGGAAGGATAAGTTAGAATATTAGGGAACACAAATATAATAGGCTTAGTTTTCAGTGAAAAATATTACTGCAGCCCTTACAGGGAACAACGTCTTGTCTAAGTGATCTAATTTACTCAACCATTATAATAATGACTTAACACTAGTCTCTGGACGTTTCCCATGTCAGGAATAATTTATAAATGAACTACTTTAATTCATACTGTAATCCTATGCACAATTACTCATAATTATTACTCATTGTACAATAATATAGATATTACTTCTAGGATCCTCGGATTTTTGTATCTGCACTGACGTCACAAATCAAGCAACACATGTTGGTTTATCTGAGTCCTCTACAAATTATGATGACACAAAAATGGTGACAGATACAAGTGCAAGTGTCTGCTCTTTTTGCATTTACAACCTCCTTTTCAAGCAAAGATGTAAGTCACCTGGTTTTGTGTCGTGATGCACATTTTGTCAGTTCCCTCTTTATCCCCTGTGTCCTCAACAGGCACTTTTGCTAACAGAAGCTTTTCTCTCTTTTTGAAACTTCTCTCCTTGCTTATGGTAATCCTGATCCATGCCAGGACCCTGTACATTTAGGCTATAGAAAAGAAATACACAATGGACAGCTGCATGCTACGTGATTAATAGTTAAGGTTTTGCTTTGCACTGGAATCTTCTATCAATTTAAATGGATTTGGATCTGATTGGCCCATAAATCCAAGAAAAGGCATACAATAAATCATGTTTGATTAAGATGTAATTGGCTTAACAGATATGAAAGGAGACTTGGATACAAATTCCTTTAACCCCTCTCCTCCCACTTTTTAGCTCCAAACTGACTAATCTGACACCACTTTTGCAATTTCTTCTCCAGACTTGACAGGAGCCTGTTGTGACTTTGACGTCAGAATGAGCAGGTTAAGCTGGAGTCAAGATAAAGATTTCCTTAAGTAATCAAGATCAAAG